TTTGGCCACTAATCGAGCCTTATATCTCTCAAGAGTGCCATCAGAATTATATTTCAGGGCATAAACCCATCTGCACCCTACTGCTTTCTTTCCGTTGGGTCTATCAATAACCTCCCATGTTTTATTTTTCTCCAAAGCATTCATCTCCTCTTGCATGGCTTGAGCCCAATTCCTATCTTTCAAGGCTTCATGTACTGATTTTGGGATTGCAATAGAATCTAGTGCTGAAACAAAGCTTTTGTGCTGCACAGAAAGATTAGCAGAGGAAACAAAGTGGGAGATAGGGTATTGAGTACAAGAGGGACAGGAGGAACAAGTTTTCTTGTGACAAGATCTTTTTCCTTTTCTAAGAGCAATAGGTAAGTCATCAGAAGTAGAAGCAATGGGTAAGTCATTAGAGATATCAGAAGAAATAGACAAATCATGAGAGGAAATAATATTAGAATCAGAAACAGGAGATTCAGGAGACTCAGAAGAAATAGGAGATTCAGGACTTACCAGTGGTTCAGACGATTGAGGTTGCTGGTGAGACAGTATGGGTTGTATCTCAGGTGTATTTGAAGGTTCTGACACACCAGGAGCAGACACACTAGGAAGAGAGAAGATTGATCCAGACTCAAAGAAGGAAGGGGACGAGTCTTCTGAAGAACTATTCTCCCCCTGACGATGAGGACCCAGGAAATAAGATTCAGATTCTTGAAAGGTGACATCCATAGAAACAAAAAATTTCCGACTTGGTGGATGATAACACTTGTACCCTTTTTTATAAGGGTTATAACCAAGGAAGACACACTTAAGAGCCCTAGGACCCAACTTACTCCGATGTTGTTTATGAACATGGACAAAGGCAACACATCCAAACACTCTTGGTGGAAGGCTCTGCAATATGGGAACAGAAGGAAAGAAGGAAGTCATGGAATGAATAGGACGGATATTGTTAAGGACCCGTGAAGGTAAACGGTTGATCAAAAAAGTTGCAGCTAATACTGCTTCTCCCCAATAAGAACTAGGAACAGATGTCTGAAAAAGTAATGCTCTAGCAACTTCAAGAAGGTGACGATTTTTCCTTTCAGCAACCCCGTTTTGTTGAGGGGTATCAACACATGTGAGCTCATGAATCATACCTCTGTCTGAAATGAATTGTGACAGGCGTTGATTGACGTACTCAGTACCATTATCAGATCTGAGTCTTTTAATACCCTTACCAAACTGAGTCTCAACCATGTGATGAAACCGAATAAATATCTCTGGTACTTCAGACTTGTCTTTCATCAAGTATATCCATGTTATCCGAGTACAATCGTCAATAAAAGAAACAAACCACCTAGCACCTGAAACACTGTGCACTTTAGAAGGGCCCCAAACATCAGAATGGATAAGAGAAAAAGGTTCCCTGCTTTTAATAGTGCTAGAAGGAAATGACACTCGATGGTGTTTTGCAAATTCACAAACATCACAATGAAAGGTCTCAACCGACTTATTGAGAAACAGAGAGGGGAACATAGACTTCAAAAGACTAAATGGTGGATGCCCGAGACGCTTATGATGGAGCCAAATCATAGACTCTGCAGTAGAAGGATGATGTGTCATTAATAACTGATTTTTGCTAGCATGGTCTGGAAGGAGATGATACAACCCATCCTGATCATTAGCAACTCCAATTGTCTTCTTCGTGGTAAGATCCTAAATAAGACAATGAGAAGGAAAAAATGTAATAGAACAATTCAAATCAGTTATAAGTTTTTGAGTGGAGATAAGATTAGTAGAAAGCTGAGGAACATAAAGAACATTTTTAAGAAACAAGGAAGGTTGAATTTGAATGTTACCAGAACCAATAACTGATTTATGGGATCCATCAGCTACGGATATAGTATGACTACCAACAGTAGGATGATAAGAACAAAACAACTCAGTACGACAAGCCATATGATCAGTTGCACCAGAATCCAAAATCCATGAGATTTTAAAATCAGTGCAAGAAGCAAGAAGAAATATAGAACGTGTGCTCTTACCAGATAAGATCGAAGAACTATCATGCTCGGCCATTCTTTAACAAAAAAAAGTTAACAACCAGCGATAAAATCAACCAAACAGAATATCAAATGACCTCTGATCAGAAAAATAATTACAGATCCAGACAGAAGACGAGAAGACGAGAAGAATGGTGGTGGTCCGGTCCAAAAACACGGCCGCACGCGCCTCCACGCGCCGGAGAAAGGAGCTGCGCGTGGGATTCACTCGCCGGGAAAGGGGCGGCGCGTGAGAGCGCGTGGATGGGCTTCGCCGGCTGAGATTTTTCTGGTGTGGTCGTCCGGTGAGCGCGCACCTGTCTGTGGGTGGTCGCGGTTGAAAAGTCGCCGGAAAGTGGTCCAAACGGTGAAGACAGATCTAATTGGAGGCAGTCGGAGGTGTTTCGGTCGTTTGTGGCGGAGGAACACTGCGTAGAATGATAGATCGGAGGAAAAATAAGGTCAACAATTGTCCCCTTGGTCCGAAAGGTCCCCGGAAAAATTTTCCGATGGCGGCTAATGGCGGCAAGAGGCAAAGAAATTAGGGTTTTGTTAAAAAAGAAGATAATATGTGCGGAAGCAAAGCCCTCAGATCGAGAGCTCTGATACCAACTTGAAAAAGGGTATTCTAATATAATATAGAATTGTAAATAATCTGTACAAAGGGTTCTCTATTTATAGAGAATATTTGACCTACTTTTAACCTAATGGGCTTGGCCCAATACAACAAAGAGCTTGGCCCAATACAACAATAAATGACTAAATAATAACTAAATCAATATTATTTACAACATCAAGTCTTTAGTTGGCTAATAAGCCAGTATAGGCTCTAAATATTTTACATAGGCTTAGGCTATCATAGTCAAAGTCTGACCTAACCTGGCCCATTTACACCCCACGTATCCTCCACGAAAGACAATTCGGTTCGGGGTGATCTAAGATTAAGACTTTAAATCTCTCTTAAAGATAGTACTAGGAGGATCGAACACATGGTCTCACCACCACATGCTCAGATCCCATACGCCAACTGAGCTAGGGTTGGCAAAAACGAGCCAACCCATCGGGTTGGCTCGTAACCCGCCAAAAATGAGCAGGGTTGGGTGGCAAAAACGAGCTGCCAACCCGACCCGAGTCAGCTCGTGAAAAAATGAGTCAACTCGCGGGTTGAGATTATATATATATATATATATATATATATATATATATATATATATATATATATAGGCAAGATCCTTTGACACCGGTGTCAAAGGAAAAGTTTGACACCGGTGTCAAAGGAAAAGTTTGACACCTCATCTGAGAGCCGTTAGATTAAAAAAAATCAATGGTGTCACATGCTTACAAATCAGAATCGTTGATTTTTTTTAATCTAACGGCTCTCAGATGAGGTGTCAAACTTTTTTTTTGACACCAGTGTCAAAGGATCCTGTCTCATATATATATATATATAATACAAAATATAATATACAAAAATGGACAAAACCCACACCTGCTGTCATCATTTTTGTTCCTTCTCTAAACCTAAGTCCCTAATCTTCTCACATCCCTGCCATTTTATATTGTTAGGTTGTGCTGGCTCTGTTTGGTTCAAATATCTTACCCACTTGGTAGCAAGTGGTTCTGATTGTTTCTTGTTGTTGATGCAAATTTGTTGTAAAGAAAATTTGAAACTAAAATATTTTGCTTTTATTTCTCATTTTGTAACCCTTTTTATTTAAGCTTGTGGAAGCCACATAGTTATGCATTAATACTACAGGGCCATTTAAATAGACTGAAAACGAGCCAACCCGCGAGCCAATTTTTGAGCCAACTCGCGAGCTATTTTTTCAAGCCAACCTACGAGCCATATTTTTGAGCCAACCCGTGAGCCAACCCTAACCCGACTCGGGTCGGGTTGCGTTGAGTTTTCTGGCTTCTGGGAGCCATTATTTGGGTGGCTTCTGGGAGATTTAGTCGACTAAATCTCCCTATGTAGTCGACTAAATCTCCCAACAGACAACAAAGGAAAACAAGTCATTATGATTTTTTAATCGATTAAGTAGGGAGATTTAGTCGACTAAATCTCTCAACAACCATTTAGTCGATTAAAAATTCAAGTTAGTCAATTAAAGAGGGGCAGATTGGTAGATAATTTCGAATCAAGGGCAAAATGATTATTAATTAATTAATAAGGGGCAAAAGGGTGAAAAAGCCGTCATTTATTAATATTTTAGAATAATTTGGTATTTTTTAAACATTGTTTTCGGTGTGGTTAACTGAACAATAGAAATTAATTGAATTAGCTACTTTGAGTCTTCTTAAATAGTAAAATGGAATAAAAACTCTTAAATTTGATTCATGCGTGATTTACTTTTAATTTTTAAAAATGGCAAAAACAATCTTCATATTTTATTACTGAATTTGATATTGTTCAGAGTTTGATTTTTGTACCAATATCTTTCTTTTATATCATTGGGACCCACCTGATTATATCTACATGAAAAAAACTCTCTTGTGATGTGATAGGAGGAAATGAAACCTCAATAATATAATAGTGTAAGAAAATTTATCTCGATAATATATTAAAATTAAATATAAATTTGTGTATACATTATTTTTGTTTTCTCGAGTCATGATCAAATTTTATTAATAAAATAATTGAGTGGAGACAGTTTCTTTTTCTTGAGTCACCCATCATTACCGTCTTACCGAATCTTATAGTGCCAGGGAATCTAATTCAGCTCCATTGTTATTTTTATTATTTCATACTATACATTTTTCTTTAATTAAGCGAAATGGTTGGTGGTGACATGGTGAAGTAATAATTTACTCATTAAAAAATAGAAAAGAAACATAAGAAACTTCACCTGTACTGTACGTGACCTTGAATCAATGATTAAATACGACACAAAAAATCTACCCAATAAAAATTAAAAAAAATATTAAAAATAGTTAAAAACAACGAATGTGAATTATTTATTTCATACATGTATACACAATCCAACACTATACTCCATAGCTTGCACAACATCAATGGAGGCTTATCACTAGAAAAAAAAAAAAAAAAAAAAAACTCCATTGTTGTTTTTTACAAGGACAAGGTTCCATATTCTTCATCCATGGCAGGGGTGGTTCCCAAGAAGGCTAACAGTAACACCACCACCACCACCACCAACCCAGTTAACAAGAAGGAAAACACGAATCTTCTGTTGGGTCGGTTCGAGATTGGGAAGCTCCTCGGCCATGGAACCTTCGCCAAGGTCCACCATGCTCGGAACATCAAAACCGGTGAAGGGGTAGCCATAAAGATCATAGACAAAGAGAAGATCCTAAAGGGTGGCTTGATGTCACACATAAAGCGCGAGATCTCCATCCTCCGCCGTGTCCGCCATCCCAACATCGTGCAACTCTTCGAGGTGATGGCCACAAAGACAAAGATCTACTTCGTGATGGAGTATGTCCGTGGCGGCGAGCTCTTCAACAAGGTTGCCAAAGGAAGGTTGAAAGAACAAGTTGCAAGGAAGTACTTTCAACAGTTAGTTTCTGCCGTTGAGTTTTGCCACGCGAGAGGAGTGTTCCATAGGGATCTCAAGCCTGAAAATTTGTTACTTGACGAGAATGGTAACCTTAAAGTGTCCGATTTTGGTCTCAGTGCTGTGTCTGATCAAATTAGGCAAGATGGGTTGTTCCACACTTTTTGTGGAACACCTGCTTATGTTGCTCCTGAGGTTTTGGCTAGGAAAGGGTACGATGGTGCAAAGGTTGATATTTGGTCTTGTGGTGTTGTTTTGTTTGTTTTGATGGCTGGTTATTTGCCTTTCCATGACCACAATGTTATGGCCATGTACAAGAAGATTTACAAGGGTGAATTCAGGTGTCCTAGGTGGTTCTCTCCTGAACTCTCTGCACTTCTCAGAAGGCTTCTTGATACCAAACCCGAAACCAGGATTTCCATTCCGGAGATTATGGAGAACCGGTGGTTCAAGAAAGGGTTCAAGCAAATAAAGTTTTATGTTGAGGATGATAGAGTTTGTGGTATTGATGATAAGGTGAACATTGATGATGATGATGATGTATCATCTGTATCAGAATCTGACTCAGAGGTTGAGTATAAAAGGAGGAATAATGCTTCACTTCCAAGGCCTGCAAGCTTGAATGCATTTGATATCATATCATTTTCTCCGGGTTTTGATCTTTCTGGGTTGTTTGAGGAAAAGGGTGATGAGGCGAGGTTTGTGTCTGGTGCCCCAGTGTCCAAGATTATATCAAAATTGGAGGAAATTGCTCAGTTGGTTAGCTTTACGGTAAGGAAAAAAGACTGCAGGGTGAGTTTGGAGGGTTCTAGAGAAGGTGTAAAGGGGCCATTGACGATTGCTGCTGAGATATTTGAATTAACACCTTCTTTGGTGGTAGTGGAGGTGAAGAAAAAAGGAGGGGATAGAGCAGAATATGAGAAATTTTGTAACTCTGAATTGAAACCTGCGTTGCAGAATTTGATGATGGAGGAATCCGCAACTTCTTCACGCCCACCTACACCCACTGAATTACCTCTTTCTGACTCTCCGCTGGACATACCTTCAGATACTGAATCTTTGTACTAAGACACCTGAAAATTTACAGAATAAGGGAAAAGGGTGTTACGTTTTTGTTTTTATTATTTTGTATAGGTAGTGTATGGTAAATTTTCTTTTTCCCTTTTTTCCCAGGATTGTCCTGCTTTTTTTAGGTTTGCTCCTTGTCTGGAGCATTAGATGCTACTGTATTTGTATGTCTAATTGCTGTAAGAAGAAGGCTAATTTAATTTAAATATAGTAATGGAGTGTGCATGTTCACATGTTTGGCACATTGTTGTGTAACTGTAATGTATATATTTTCATCCTTTATTGCAAGTGATGAGAAAATAAGAATGCAATATCTTGATAATCCATCATGTGTTGGGCTTTGGGTTTCTAGTGCTTCATATTACATCCATGTATTTATCATCTTAATTAGGAGTTGGCATTTGGAGGAAGCCATCCCAACATGAACTTATCATTCCATGCCCTTTTAGATTGGTCTAAAAGAGAGTAACTTTCCAAGCATTAATCAGCATGCCCCAACTGCAATCTGTTAACTGAGTATATATAACCAAAATCAAGTTCAGAAATCAGACCCTTTTCTCCCACCAGTTACAGATCGATGGGAAGGGGAAGGGGAAGGGGAAGGGGAATGAAAGTCTTTTTCTAACGTGATTGGCTAGTTCATTCACTTCAGTGATAGATCACGAGTTTTTTTCAATCTTTAAGATATTTGAAAGCAAGGACTATTGAAGCCAATGTAACAACAAGAACACTGGTTAAGGATAATCACACTTATCTCTATTTTATGGGTTAGCAAGAGAAATAATAAAATAGATCGCTTGCATCAATATATATATATATATATATATATATATATATATATATATATATATATATATATAGGTAAAATCATTTCTACAGCCGTTTTACGTACAACAACGACAGGTGTATGGTTATGATTCCTCACATTTAATGCTTTCATCATTTGTATGATTATGATTCTCCGCATTTAATGTTTTCAAGCATATATATGACAAGTATTTGATTGCTGCACGCTATGTAGCACCGATACGACACGTGACACGACACTCTGACACATCAATTCTAAAAAATTATAGATTTCGACACGTTGGGACACGTTTTAATATTAAATAATATTTTTAATTTATATAGTGTATATTACATTTAATATTTAATAATTTAACAAAAAAATGAAACTGAATTAATAATACCCATCAACACGTTATAAAGTGAAAGCTTTAATAAAAAAAACAAGAACTGGGATGAGAGAGATCAAAGACAAGGAGATACAATAAGAGCGTGATAGCAATTGACAACAATGATGCTGAGATGATCTCTTATCTACTTAAGGGAAAAAAAGACAAAAAAATAAAATTGATATGATCAGGTGGAAGCTTTTTTAATACGTTTTAATTTTTTTTTAAATAATTTTTTTAAAAAACAAATTAAAAAAAAATTACGAAAATGCCATTTGACCGTGTCGGACACGGTCAAATTCGCGTGTCGGAATAGTCAACGTGTCGGAAAAAGTTGACCGCGTGTCCGACACCGTGTCGGAGCGTGTCGCCGTGTCGGAGCGTGTCAGACACGACTCTCTCTGTTTTTACAAGTGTCCGTGCTTCCTTGGCTGCACGTACAGCAGCTGCAGAAATGTAAACCCCATATATATATATATATATATATATATATATATATATATAAGGTAGGATCCTTTGACACCAGTGTCAAATTTAAAATTTGATACCTTATCTGAGAGTCGTTAGATAAAAAAAGATCAACGACTCTGATTTGCAAGTATGTGACACCGTTGATCTTTTTTGATCTAATGATCTTAGGTGAGGTGTCAAAAGATCCTACTTCATATATATGGGATATGATATTGTGACAACCAAGTAAAGTTACAACCAATGTTACTACCAATCAATCTCACTGTTAGATTGGTAGTAGCGATCCCACGGTCCTCATTGGTCTCTTAAATAGTCCATTTCTATTCGTTTCTCTCTCCCCCTTCTCTCTCTTCTAGGGTTGGCTCGTAACCCGCCAAAAATGAGCCGGGTTGGGTTGGCATAAATGAGCTGCCAACTCGAGTCAACCCGGCTCGTTTCAACCCGTGAAAAAACGAGCCAACCCGCAGGTCAAACGAGCCAGCTCACGAGTTGAGTTTTTTTTTTAATAAAATAATACAAAATATAATATACAAAAATGGACAAAACCCACACATATTGTCATCATTTTTCTTCCTTCTCTAAACCTATGTCCCTAATCTTCTCACATCCTTGTCATTTTTATATTGTTAGGCTGTGCTGACTCTGTTTGGTTCAAATATCTTAGCCACTTTGTAGCAAGTGGTTCTGATTATTGCTGGATGTTGATGCAAATTTGTTGTGAAGAGAATTCGAAACTAAAATATTTTGCTTTTATTTCTCATTTTGTAACCCTTTGTTTAAGCTAATGGAAGTCACATAGCTGGTGCATTAATATTACAGGGTCATTTAAATAGGCTGAAAATGACCCAATTTTTGAACCAACCCGCGAGCCAATTTTCGAGCCAACTCGCGAGCTATTTATTCAAGTCAACCCACAAACCATATTTTGAGCAACCCGCGAGCCAACCCTAACCCGACTCGGGTCGGGTCGGGTTGGGTTTTCTGGCTCGTTTTTTTTTTCCGAGCAAACCCTAACCCGGCTCATTTTTTTCGAGTTGAATGCGGGTTGGGTCGGGTCGAGCCGGGTTGGCCCATTTTGTCAACCCTACTCTCTTCCCTTCCCTCTCTCACTATACACTCTGCCGCCGCCGCCCACAGCCTCTGTCCCGACGGAGATCACCATGGAAGAAGTGGAGATTGTTGGAACGGTAAGGACCCACCAAATGGCGAATCCTATGGACAGCTTCGATGAAGGAATTGTGAAGATTGTCGATTACGAAAACCCTAAATCCCTGCTTCAGAAGCTGAGCCACCGTGTGGGATCCGATGAACCCCGCCCCACCTGTTACTAGAATCGTCTGTGTTTGTGTTTGCGTTTTCCCTGACACAGACATAGTCAACACTTCAATTAAATACTTTACTGCAATGATTGTTTTAATTTAAGGATTAAATTAAAATATATTTTATTTTAAGATAATTGATTTGCAAACCAATGAAAGTTAAGGGATCTGGATGTCGCTGGAGCACCGAAGCACTTTCCTTAGCATTGGTCATTGAAACAAACCTATTTGGGATTGATTAATTATCAAAATGCTGATGAATTATCTGATTAAATATTTTACAAATCGAAATCGGAACCGGACCATTTGCTTCAACAAGGAATTATACCATCCGATCCGATCCAATCGGCTGCGCGACGGAGGCAGGCGGCGCCGTGGGGACAGAGGCTGTGGGCAGCGGTGACGGTGGCAGAGTGTATAATGAGAGAGAAAGAAAGAGAGAGAGAAGGGGAGAGAGAAACGAATAGAAAGAGACTATTTAAGAGACAAATGAGGACCGTAGATCGCTACTATCAATCTAACGGTGAGATTGATTGGTAGTAACATTAGTTGTAACTTTACTTGATTGTCACAATATCCTATCCTCATATATATATATATATATATATCAAGGAACAGAAAAATATGTGGCTAATTGAAAAAGCAAGGATTCATATACGCCAAGTGTACATAAAAATGGGAGAAATTCAATACAATTATCTGCATGGATGACATTCACTCAAATCTCAGAGCATGCTTAATTTCCAGTGGCAGGGCATTGATAATTGCTCTGAAGATCTTACATTCCCACCTATCCAAAAATAAGCTTATAGGCCCTACACACTAACAAGTGGTGCCTATTGCTGGACCCAAAATGTTTATGTAAAACAAACACCATAAGTCAGTTGAAGCGTGGACACTTGTCTATAGGACTGGCATAGCTACTACAGGTGTCAGGTTTACAATGTAGAAATTCTGACAAAACTTTATTTTATTTATATCATTCAATTTGAATTGAATTTTATTATTATCTCGTGAAGAGAATTTGTATAGTTCAAATTACTTGTTAGAAAATGCACATACTGACTACTCCATATCAAATGGGACAGAATCGTGGTAAAAAAAAAAATGATAATAATTAAAAAAAAATCTTCCAACAACTTTTGACTTTTAACTTTTATTTTCTCATCATAAAAAAAGAATTTTGTTTATTATGAGAACTTTTTAAAAATTTATTTGTCTTAACTTATACAAATAAATAATTTCTAACTTAAAAAAAATCCAAAAGGGTACTTAATCGCACTTAAAAAAAATGTGCAGGGGACTTATTCATGTCCCATTTTGCCGAATAAAGTGCATTAAATACATTAAATTCAATGTATTTGTTTATTTATTTTGTAAATTATGGATAAAAAATATCATATTATCTATTTTTTTAGATGATGTGATACTTTTTATCCTTATATCACAAAATAAATAAACATATATATTAAATTTTTGATGAGTCTGATACATACACTAATTAAATTTTAGTATATGTATGGTTGGTATAGTCGGTACACTAAATAAACGGATTAAGGGTATGGTTGGTACATAGCTCAGAAGCACGGACACGCGATTGTCTAAAAAATTTACGTGTCGGACACTGAAACGTTTTGACACGCGTCTGACACGCGGTCCATATTTTGGGACACGCGCTTAACTCTTCAATACGTTTCGACATGTTTTTCTGACATGCAATTAACTTTTTTCGATACTTGGTTAAAGCTCCGACACGATTTTTTTTTTTAGTCTTAAAATTAACAAAGTACAAAAAATTATTTTTGTTTATATTTATGTTATGAAATTTGAATAGTTGATTGGTTATATGACTTATTATGGACTGTTATATGTATTAAATATAAATTATATTATATATATTAAAATTTTTATTTAATATCAAAACGTGTCCCAACGTGTCGAAATATGACATTTTTTAGAATTAATGTGTCGGTGTGTCGTGTCCCATGTCAGTGTCGGTGTATATTCGTAATTTTTTATTTAAATTATAATTAATTAATTTTTTTCCTCGTTACACTACCATACTCGAAACTTCATGGAGCAGTGCATGAGTACGTGGAACGGAGGAAGAGTGACCATTTTGCCACACTTGACAAAAAAATTTACCAGACTATCACGCCAATAGTAAATTTTGTCAAAATGCCACGCTGCACCCTTAGCCGTCGTTGAAGAAGTCTGAAAATAATTAAGAGTTAAGATAAGATAATGCGAATTAGTTATATTTTAAGACTTCTTCAATGACGGCTAAGGGTGCAGCGTGACAATTTGGCAAAATTTACTGTTGGCGTGACAG